CTAAACACTAAACCCCAAACCCCCAATGAGTCTCTCCGCCTGCGCTTCGGCGCTGTCGAGGCGCTCCAGGCGCGGCAGCTGCCCGCGCAGCAGGGACGCGGGGCAGCGGCTGAGAGGAGGTGCAGGGACCCATTGGCTCAGGGTTCGGGGGTTTTACTAAATAAGGGGTGCTACAAGAGCTCCTCAGAAGTTTGCTACAAAGGGCTACTCTGAGGGTTGCTATAAGAAGGGCGCTGCTCTGAGGGTTGCTAGACGGGTTGCTATTTAGGCGTTTAGATTCGGAGTTTGGGGTTTTTGTTTTGGGAAGCCCGTGAGCGCCATCTTGAGAACCTGAAACTTGGATCCAGCACCCTGAACCTAATGACACCACTTCTGTGAGTGTAGCCTTAGCTGAGAACCTCATTTAACCATCAAATACAAGGAGACCCTAAACCTCTGAAACCCTAAACCCCTGAGCCCTAAACCCTAAACCCGGGGTTCCTACTATCAGGGGTGCCCATGAGGGCGACCCTGAAACCCGCATCCCGAAACCCTGTCAGGGTTTAGGCTTTAGGGTTTTAGGGTTTTAGGTTTTAGGGTTTAGGGTTTAGGGTTTAGGGTTTAGGGTATCCGAAAAGCTCTGCCTAAAAGCGCAACAGCTACAGTCCCTTAGAAGCCAACCTCTGAACCTCTAACCCCTACACCTCCCCAAACCGAAAACTGCCCTAAAACCTCCAAACTCCGGAAAGCCCAAAGCTTGAAAACTCCGAAACCCCCGAGGCTCGAGGCTCGAACGCCTGAAACTTTTTACCCCCATCAAAACTCAACCCGAAGCCCTAAATCCCTAACCCTAAACTCTGAACCCGAAGCGCTAAACCCTAAACCCCCTAAACTCTAAACCCTAAACCCCCTAAACTCTACACCCTGAACCTTATAAGCCCTACACCCTAAGCCCTAAACCCTAAACTCTAGGGTTTGGGGTTTACGGCTCCGCCCTCGTTGGGATGCCCGGCACTGGCCAGGACGTCGTCTCGGCCGGTTGCCCGCAGACCTGGCGGGGCTTAGGAGCTGAGGAGTTGAGGGCCCTTTCGAAAAACATAAACCTTTTTGGGTGTATAGGGTTTAGGGTTTAGGGTTTAGGCGCCTTTTAGGGTGTAGGGTTTCGGAGTTGACGGCATTTCGGTGGCCTGAACTGTAGACCGTCTGGTTTGTCTGTGTACCGGGTGTTCCGAGGTCGGGCTCAGCATCTGGGGCTTCCCTAGACCCGAAGCCCGACCTTCACTCCCCCCCAAATAAACCTACCGTTGCAGGCCCCCAAAAAATCTTACCTTTGTAGGGCTCTGCGTTATGGTTTCCTTCTATAAGTCCTTAAAAGTTAAGTTTTCGGGGTTAAGGCAGACCCTCCACCCTACCATGCAGAATCCCACCACCATCCCACAAGTGGCAAAACCAAGACTTTGGACAGACTATGGAATCCCGAGCCGGCAAAAAACTAAACACGTCAGCCCTTAAACCCAAAAACCCAGAAAGCCGTAAACCCTGAAGTCCTAAAACAGCCCAAAACCCTAAACCCGTATAGTCCGAACAATCCCTGTAAGCCCTCCAACAGCCATGGTAAGAGCAGGAGAAGGGCAATAGCGGTGACAAGAACACTTGGGAGGCAAAACCCCAGAGCCACAACACAGCAACCTTTTACCCAAAACCAACCAAGAGCACCTAATCCACAGACCCATTAACACACCTAAGAACCGCCC